AGAAATCACCCCCCAGGGGGGATGGTCACGCCGCAATCCCCTCTCCTCCGTTCTCCTCTCGGGATCTTGGGCACGCACGCACACGCGCCCGGCGTGAGTTTTAAGCCACCAGGTCCGAGACACGAACCGCGGTCGACTACGTGGGAGTCCAGCGACATAGCCATTACGCTAACTGCTGGTTCCCTATAGCAAAACTTTTAAAATAGCAAATAAATAAATAAAAATAAAAACACAGATGGGGCCAGCAGGTGGCATGGTGATTAAGGGCGCTGGAGCTCCACATGGCCGACGCCAGTTCGAGTCCTGGAGCTGGACGCTTGCTTTCTTACTTTCTCTCTCTCTCTCACTCTTCTCTCCCTGGTTCAAATTGAAATAAAGTTAAATAAAACAATTCTGTAAAAAAGAAAAAAACAGGCAAAACTCAGTGTCACGTGGGAGACAGATGCTTTTCCTTGTTAGCTTGTGGGTCCTTGCAATCTGTGTCCAGGAGCAGACCAAGACAGCGAGCCTGACTCCAAGCTGTGTCTGGGCTGGGGACTGCGGGACTGAGCACACTACAAAGGGGAGGGCAGTGCATACTGGGCCACGAACTCACTGACACTGTTCTCAGTGAGGCAGCCAACTCCTCTTCCAGATGTGGCACCACTTCAACCAAACAACCACACTGGAGGGGAGGGAGCAGCCAGGCCCAGCCCGGGACGGCCTGCAGTCCTCCTCAACTGCTGGAGCCAGTCACACTCCGGGGAGGAGGGGGGTCAGCTTGCTGAGCGCGGGAGGGAGCTGCTGGCTACAGCCCCCAACCACAAGGAACTGCGGCATGACCACCCCACGGGGGTGCTCTCACTCTGAGACAGCGTCTGCTTGTCTCTCTCAATGAGAAAGCACGTAAGGGCCGAGAACAGGAGGGGACTGCTGACCTTGGTGAAGGCCTTTCATTGAAATCACTGGGAAGTGAGTCCCATCTAAGCGTGTTTTCCACACACGGGGTGGGGGGGGAGATGCCACGGGGAAGGGGCTCCCGGCCCAGCCCAGGACCGCGCTCCCCGCCAACTGGTGGGAACAGCCGCATTACCAGGCGAAGGAGGTGTGCAGGCAGGCCCACAGGTGGTCGTCGCTCGTCAGGGAGGTGAGCGAGCGGGCGGCATTGCCGTTCCTCTGGTGCAGGAAGGGCGTGAAGGCCGTGTTCATCCTCTGCGCCCGCTGGGGGCACCCGAACTGCTCCGCCTCGAACACCTGAGTGCAGAGGAAGCGCAGCCTGTGTGACACGCGCGAGGGCAGCCACGGGGAGGTCGCGTCCCGTGGAGCTGACCAGGCTCAAGTCTCAGCAGCCTAGAAACCCAGCCGGGTTTCCAGGACCCTGACGGGACAGAGAACAGGAGGAAGGAGCGTGGCCCGCCCAGGCACTGCTCTCACGAGCACGCACGCACACACACGTACACACCAGTGTGTAACAGACACAGCCAGCCAGCAGCCTAGATGCCTGCTCACACCCCGCAGGGTCCTCCCCCAGACTGTCTCCACTGCCCTTTCGGTGCGGCGGGCAGGATGTCCCTGTCTACCGGCTCCAGACAGACCAGCTTTGCCCCAGCGAGATCAGCCAGTTCCTAAGCCACCTGCTGGGTGTCTAACCAACAGGGACTCGGACCCCTCCCCGCTCCAGGGGACACCAGTGCTGTCCCTGAGTGCCTCCTGCCCCACACGCCGCGGCCCTCCTGAGAAGCACGGGATTGCCCCAGCCAGCCGGTCCCAGCAACACTGCACACGGCTGCCACTGTGCGCGGAGACCCGGCGGGCAGACACGCAGACAGCGGACTCCGTGGCCTGTAGCTGCCGGGACTAGATAGCTGCTCGTGGCCAGGCCACAGGGCATAGCCAGAGGCTGAGGCCAGGAACCGCCTCAGCAGGACCAGGGCCCAGGTGCTGAAAGGATGGTTCAGGGACAGCCAGGTCTGCGAGCAAAAGCCAGAGCTGACCAGAACCAGAACACCGAAGCAGGAGAGACCGCCACAGGCGGCACCGACCAGGAGGCAGGCAGGGTGCCTCGACCCTGCGGAGACCCAGACCACAGAGGAGGAGGGCTCCCGGGGCAGCCCCGCCAGGCTGCGCCCTCACCCTGAGCGCCTTGCCCTGGAGCCCGTCGATGATGCCCCGGATCTTGGCCAGCAGGAAGGGCCAGGAGTTGATGAGGTAGATGCGGTCCATCATGATGGCGACAATGCTGTACCAGCGCTGGAAGCCGCGCGCCAGGCTGTCTTTGATGAAGAAGGTGTGGCTGAACACGAAGCCATGCTGCTCGTCCCCAAAGAAGATGGGGCCCTCACGGCCAGGGCAGACCTGCAGGAACCGGCAGGGGCTTGAGGAGACAGCTCCCACCCAGTTCCTTTTGACATTTTTAAGGTTTTGCCAAAGGCATGTACACTCAGTGGAGAGAAACAGAAAGACAGTGAGAGGAAGCGAGAGGTGAAGTGAGAAGTCACCCCCGGGGATGGCCACACTGCGACCTCTTCTCCTCCAGTCTCTCCCAGGATCTGGGCAGGCGTGCACATGCGCGTGGCGTGAGTTTCAAGCTGCCAGGTCCAGGAGTTGAACCGCCGTGAGCCATGTGGGAGTCCAGCACCTTAACCACTACGCCACCTGCTGGCCTCTCACTCACCTCTTTAGAGGTTGTCTCTCAGGAGACAGAGGCAGCCCCCCCAGCCAGCCGGGACTGTAGGTGCACCCTCGTGTTTGGCCCACCCCGTGCTGCAGTCCGGGCCTCCCATGTGGCTCCATACGGCTCCAGGTGCCGGGTTACTGTCTGGGCCCACCGAGCCCCGCAGTGAACGGCCCCGAGCGGCCCAAGGAACACACTCTGCACCCTCCTCCCTCCTAAAGGACCTCGGCCCCTCCTGCGTGCCGGGTTCACACTCACAGATCCTGCAGGTCTACCAGGCATGCCGCCACGCCATGGAGGGCCTACAGGAGGGGCGGGGCAGGGGGACGACAGCGACAGGGCGCCTGCGACCGAGTCCCGGGTTCTCTGTGACAAGACCACAGGGTCTGAGCTCCACAGCAACAGCCGTGCATTCCCCCCTTGGTGGGCTCTGAAAGCCGCGCGTGCTCATCACAGAGGTGCCAGTGGGCACAGCCAAACGTAACAGCTGCATGTCATAAACGGCCCCAGAGAATGGCCAGAAAAGACCTGCCCTGCAGCCTAGCAGCTGAGAGAGCCCTTCCCACGTGGCCAGCTGTGTGGTTCAAATCCTGGCCCCAGCAACTTGAAAAACACACTGGCGTGTGTGCATGTGCGCCGGAAATCCCGACAGGGTAGAGACATGGAGAAGGGGCGGTGGTGTTGACCACGCCCATTCGGGGCTGCTCTTCCTCTCCCTCTTTCCCCTCTCTCTGGCAAGTGCATGCACCCTGTAGCCAAAAAAAAGGACTGGGGTCAGCCAGGGGGCGTGGCGGTTAAGGCTGGACTCCCACATGGCCAACCTCGGTCTGAGTCCCAGACCTGGCGGCTTGCTTTCTCGCTTCCCCTCTCCCTTCTCTTTCTCTCTGAGTGCAAGTGCCCTAGAGTAAACTGGAATAACAAGAGGTTAAATTAAATAAATAACTATTCCATTTTCAAAAACGGACCAAGATAAACCTAGCGCTTGAAGTGAACAAACGGGGGCCGGGCAGTGGGCGGTGGTACCACACCGGCCCCACGGGCCAGGTTGCAGGCTCCTGTCCCCGGACCTCCCTGGGTACGCCTGCTGAGGTCAGAGGAGGGCAGACGCAGACATGAAGGCCCTGTCGGGGGCCTCGCCCTCCGTGTCATACAGGAAACAGACAGAACACACGGAAAGCTGGCGCCACTCAGAAAACGCGCGAGTCCCAGCTCTGGACTGCTGCGAGCAGGGCCTCCCCATGGCGGACTCCTCGCCTGCCCCTCCACGACGGGCACCGACCTGGCCCAGGCCCCGCCACGGCGCTCACCTCGCAGCTCAGGCTGCGGACGCAGGCCTGGCGGACGATGCTGAAGAGCTGGGGGTGGTTTGGGTGCTGGTGGCTGACGTACTTGATCGAGGTCTCCTTGTCGTGGCTGATGTAGCCCGGGTGCCCTGCAGCGAGCGAGCGAAACCGTGGTGGGGGAGCCCGTCAGTCGTGACGCAGCAGTCTGAGCGTGGGAGACCGGCTGGGGGACCCCGCGGACCTCCTTCAGGTAACTGGCGTCCGAGCCCCCACCTAGGGCAGGCTTCACACGCCTGCGCAGGACACCCAGGACAGAGCTCAAAGGCTGCCCGAGGCCAGTGAGATCCCGCCGCGCCCTGAGAGCTCTCACAGCAGGTTAAGAGAAGAGGGTTACCTCCCACAACCTGAGGCTCGCTGCCACGGGGCCACCCCACAGGAGGGAATGGGGCACACTGGCGCTCTGTGCCCCTGCTCTGCACGATGCCACTGTCCCCACCAGGGCTCTGCCCTCAGTCCTTTTTAGTTTTCTAGAGAGATTTTTGCCATAGTGTGCGTGCGCTCACCAGAGACAGAAACCAAGAAATCATCCCCGGGGGGATGGCCACACCGCAATCCCTTCTCCCAGGATTTTGGGCACATGCTCTCAGCCTGAGTTTCAAACAGCTGGGTCCGGGACTTGAACGGTGGTTGATCAGGCAGGAGTCCAGCGACATAACCATTACGCCCCCCTGCTGGTCCTGTCCTCAGTCCCGAACACACACCCGGCAGGGGTGCAGCCAGGAGCGCGGAGGACAAGGGTGTGGAGCCAGGGTTCCGGGCTGGGACCCCGGGCCACGGCGTGGGTCGGACCAGCAGCCCACTTGTGGCCGTGCCAGAGCTGCCACTGCGCAGTAGGACCACCTGGGCACGCAAGGTCCATCCGGCCCAGGTCTGAGGGGCCCCTCTGCTGGCCTGAGCCCTCACAGGCATGTCCGGCAGATAAACTCCCACTTCTCCCGGACCAGGAGGTGGACTCCCTGAGCTGCTGTCCCGGCAGACCCGGCCCAGGTCCTCCACACAGAGCTGTGCACCGGGGAGCTCAACTCCCCTCCCAGGGCTCACAAAGTAACGCCGCGAGGACCAGTAGCCCCCGTGAGCAGGAGCGTCACCCAACAGTGGGCAGAGGGGAGCCGCGCCCTGCCTGGCCAGAGGCGACCAGGGCGGACACAGGAGGGGCAAAGGCACATGACAGGAAGCACTTCCCAGCCCACTGAGGGGGTCCCGGAAGACCAGCCCCACTGCTCCCCACCTTCCCCTCCCCCCACTCGGGGCACAGAGCTGCCAGCCCCCAGACTCTCACCTCACACATGTCGGACTTCTTGGGCCCAGGGCTGCTGGACTCGGCGCTGGCCCCTTCGGCCGGGCTGTGGGCGCGGATCCGACTGCTCATCTGAATGCCCCCCTCCTCCTCCTCGGCCGGCTCGCCCTGGCCAGGGCCATCCCCAGCCCCAGCCCCTTGGGGTAGCGGGGCGTGCAGAACCTCCGTGCAGAAGAGGGTGCGGGGCCCATGGAGCTCGCAGAAGTGGCAGAGAGCGACGATGGCGTTCATGGTACTCAGGACCGGCGCTGGAGGCCTGGGGCGGGGAGGCGGATCGGCAGCTCACACTTCGGGGCTTCCCAGTGTCACTGACGGGCGCCCACGTGTGCCAGTGCTGCATCGGAGTGGGAGACAGACAGACAGACAGAGCAGGGATGCTGGGAGTGAAGTCCTGCACAGAAAGCCCCTCGGTGCCTCTGGGACGGATCCGCGAGGCGGGCAGTGGAGAGCATAGGTTTGGAGACCGCACGGGCAGCAGGACTGGTGCTGAGTTCAAGAGGAGGCTCCCACTCAGCCCGTGTGCTAGGTGCAGGCAAGCCAGGCGGGGCCCGCCCGGGGGGAGCACGCCTTGACACCAGGCTGGGGCAGAGGTGGGGGTCTGCTGGGCAGGGGGAGTCCTGCAAGGACCAGTGCCCCGGCGTGGGGGTGAGGAGTGTGTGGCGTCTGGGGGCAGAGGGCAGGAGACAGGGCAGAGGCCGCAGGAGGCCTTCTAAGACGCTTTCAGAGACTGGAGACACTTTGGTGGGCTCCGCGGGGTGACACAACATGAGTTGTGTTGCAAGAGGCTCATTCCAGCCAAATGCAGGGAACAGGCCGCAGGGGCCAGCGTGTACACAGGGAGCTGGCCGAGGCGGGCCCAGCAACCCCAGAAGCCGAGCTGGTGGAGGGGTGCAGAGGGAAGGTGAGGGCTGGAGGAAGGGTGGGCAGTGGGAGCGGGCTGGAGCCAGCAGGTCAGGGCTGCAGACAGACACAGGAGCCGCCCCTCCAGGAGCAGGGGTGTGGAGGCGCTGGCCCAGGGCACAGAGGGAAGGCAGTGGGCAGGAGGCAGCTCCAGGGCCGCCCGGACTAGGAGAGTAAGGAACGCGAGTCTGCCTGAAAGAGCAGGGAGACTGGGCACTCCACCTGCAGGGCAAGCCCAGAGGGCGGCTGGCTCAGCGAAAGCGGCTCTCGCCAAGGCCTGGCATGGCCACCCACTCCTGTGAGGGTCCCGGAGGCGAGATGCAGGGCCGGACGTAGAGGGAGGGAAGGTGGAGTTAGTTTATCAGAGCTTCAGTGTAGGGTGACGAGAAAGCTTGACACGGGGTGGTGACAGGCACACGACAGCGGGATGTGTGTAAGGCCACTGAACTGCACACGTGGCCAAGACGGTACGCTTACTGTGTTCCACCACAGAGTCTTTCAAAAGGGCAGTGCCGGGGACAGTGGCGTAGTGGTTAGGGCCCTGGATGCCCATGTGGCTGACTGTGGTTCCTGTCCTGGAACCAGAGGCTTGAAACCCACGCCGGGTGCGTGTGCATGCGCGTGCACACCCAGAGTCCCAAGAGAAGAATGGAGAAGGGGCTGAAGTGTAGCTGTCGCCCTGGGCAGTGACGTCTCACTCTCCCTCCGTGTCTCCCACAAGTGCGTCCAGACTGAGATAACAAACGACGGGGTGCCGAAAGCAGCGCAGTGGTGAGAGGAGGAGCAGTGAGGCGGACCCGTGCGGGAAGGTCCTGGCTGCGGCCTGAGACCTCCCTATGTGCACGCTACATGCCCACGGCCCAGGGAGGCTGGCAAAGCACCCAGATCACATCGGGGTGCCGTCTCTCTCTCGTGGAAGAAATGCGCTAAGAGGAGGAGGGATGGCCCGCAGAGCTCCCGGGAGCAGTGCTTCAGGGGGTGAGAAAGCCTCGAGCCCCAAGGCTCCAGGGCACACCTGATGGGGACAGAGGGGCCAGGCGAGCACCATCCCCTAACGCCATGACTGCAGCATGCCTGGGTGCTGATGGCGGAGGGCTGGCGGAGGACAGTCAGGGAGGTGACCCACCTATCCTAACAGGAGGGAAGGCAGATGCAGGTACCCCTCTGCTTGGGGACAGAGCTGGGGACATGTCTGCAGGGCTCTGACAGGCAGAGAAGCCTGAAAGCCAGTCCACATGTGCACAGCAATACCCGACACAGGGGACCCGGAGGTCACACCAGCAGCCGGAGGAGGGTCTGGAAGGCCTAGAGTGACCGTGTAGCATCTAGATTCACGCTAACACATGGCCACGAGCCACACATTGCCATTTATATTAAAAACATGGTGGCCAAGGTGCTGCCTGCGGGTCGAGTCCCAGGCCCAGCAGCTGGCTCTCTCACTTCCTCTCTCTCTGATGAGCACACATGCCCCACAGCAAATTAAAAAATAATAACGAAAAGGTTATTTTACTTCTGCCATGCATGACAGAGGAACAGAGAAAGAGAAAACGCAGTGCGTCATGCCCCGCTCAGCGCAGCCTCGGCCTGCCCCAGCCCTGGCTCCGAAGCCCACGTGCGCACGGGGTTTATAGGGCAGTCTCCAGCCAGGCACCTAAAACCATCCCATGTGGGTCAGCCACGCTGGGTGAAATTTTAGCACCGCGCCACCACCTGGCCCCCACATAAACGGGGTCACAGTTCAGCTTCTCAATCTCATGGGCCACCTGCGGCTCATGGCCACTGTCCCGGATGTGCAGGTTACAGACAGGTTCCAGGGCAGAATGCACCACTGCATGGCCTTGCTGCAGACAACGGGAACCACGTAAGTTCCGAGTGTGGACAATGGCCAGGGTACCCCAGAGAGCAGACCCTCGGTCCTGGCCCTTGGTAGGCAGGCATGGACAGGACTGAGGCCGGCCGGACCTGCCTGGACCACTCTCCTGCACAGAGCATGGAGCACAGCCTCCGTATGCACAGCAGTGGCCAGGGGTGGGCAGTCCCCTACGCACCGTGGTCTAAGTAGCCAGTGACAGCGCTCTCCACGGCCTGCGCCCTCTGTCCCTAGGTGTCCCAGCCATGCCCACAGGGCCTGTTTCTCTTGCCTGCCCACTGATCCACGACCCCTCACATTTCTGCCACCAGCATTTCAGCTGCTAGGCAGCTGCGCACCTGTCCCTACCCAAGGAGGGGCTGGTGCAGAGCGATCACACTGCAAGGGCAGACATAAAACTGCCACCAAGGCTAGCTGAGTGGTTAGGGAAGCTTAGATCCCACAAGGCTGGCCACGTGGTTCAAATCCCATACCTGTGTTAAAAAACACACTGGGTGTGGGACCAGCAGGTGTAATGGTTTTGTCGCTGGACTCCCACGTAGTCCACTGTGGCTCAAGTCCTGAACCTGGCAGCCTAAACACGCTGGGCATGTGTGCATTCGCGCCCAAAATCCCAAGAGGAGAATGGAGAAGGAATTGTGATGTGGCCATCCCCCCAGGGGTTAAATTCTCGCTGTCTTTCCCCGTCTCTCTGGTGACTGCACATGCCCTATAGCAACAATCTCTTAAAAAATAAGTAACAGCAGGTGCGTGTGTGCTGAATCACAACAGGACGGAGAGATGGAAGAGAGGACTGCAGGCGTTCCCTCTGGCCAGGACGCATGCCCTCTGGCAAAATGTCCACCGACTGACCTCTGGAGAACGCGCCAGCTGGGCCAGCCAGAAGCAGGGTGTGGGGATGAAGGGGTGCTGCTGGGGACATGGACAGTGGAAGAGGACACACACAGGACTTCGGGTGCAGCAGGACGCTCAGCTGGGCAGCCCTGCGAGCTCAATGGAGATCCGAGTGCAGCAGCAGAGGGCAGGTGTGGGGCTGAAGGTCTGAGCAGCCCACGGACCTCATGGCTCCCCCTCTGCACCCCTTGGCCGCTGCCTGCATGGGCCTGACCAGTGGCCTCCCTGACCAGCGGCCTCCCTGACCAGCCCCGGGAACGGCTGCTCCCTCCGCCCCATCTCTCTCCCCACTGCTTTCCTGTGGTCCTAGCGCTTCTCACACCAGAGCGACGGGGTGGGAAGCTCGCTGTCTGGCCACCTGCTGTATCGTGTCTGCGACAGCTCCCGACACGCAGGAGGCTATGCACCCGCTCGTACTGGCTAAGTGAGCGAGCTCGAGCTGCAGCACCGAGGGGACAACTGTCGCCCCTGAAGACGAACGGGGAAGGCCAGTCTGAGAGTTGGTGGTCCAGGTACAGATGAGCCAACTTAAATGCCAGGTCCACAGGGCTTGCTACCATGAGGTCCCAGGAAGCAGCAGGAGTGGTGTGGAAGCCACAGCTCCTTGGGAAAGTGTGCGGAACAGGCACCCAGGGCCTTCCAGCAAGACGCCCCCAAGAGGGCAGCCTGGCCGAGTCCCCCCACGGCAGGGCGTTGTACTGACCTTGGGCTTGGCGGGACGACACGTGCACCTTCACACGCCTAGACCAGAGAACGTGAGGCCTGTGGCTTCGAGTCAGGCACGGCACTGGGCCGACGCAGGATCCGGTGCGGTCTAGGTAGGACAAGGACCAGCGTGAGCACCAAGAGCACTGCTCTCTGCCACGTGAACGGGCGTGGGGCATGGCGAAGGAGCATCCGGCCACCCCAGGGTCGTGTCTCAGCCCTCCGGGTGGCAGAAGCTGACCCCTGACCCCGCGGCTGTCTTCCCCCAGGGCATCACCCAGCAAAGGCTCTTTCAGCAAAGGCTCTTTCAACGTGAGCGTCTACACTCTCCCCCAACCTCTGAAACAGGCACAACTGAAAAGCCCAAGTCGTCACCCCCCACTCTTGGTTTAAGGGGCTGTTTTGGCAGCCTCCACACCAGGCCGTAGCCTAGAAGTTTCTCTCTGCTCCTCACACAGGAAGGGAAGGGGAGCCAGAGGCAGAGGTGCTAAGCTACTTCCCGGCCAGCCTCTAACACCAACGCGGGCTTTTCTCACTGGGTCGTTAGCTCATTTATTCCTTCCGGGAGAGATACGCCTGCACACACCGACAGGGTCTACGGCCATGATCCAGCCCTGCCTCGGCCAGCCCAGACCCCGGCCCGAGCACCATCTACAGGTGTCCTCTGCACGAGCGCTCAGGGCCTTCTCGGGTGCCTCCTGTCACACAGCGCCGCGTGGCCCTGGGCCACCGTCTGGCCTTTTCTACTTCTTGGTGAAAACTTGCCTGAGGGGAGTTCTGAATTTGCTGATGGTGTGTGCGAGAGCCCTGGGCAGCCCCTGGAAGGCAGTGAGGGGCCTGGACAGCGAGGCCTGCACCCGGGCTGGGAGGTCCTGTCCCCAGCCCTCACACTAGGTGGTGTCAGCTGTGCCACGTAACCCAGCTCAGGAGCACCAGGCAGCACGCGGGGCAGGGAGCCCAGCTCCTCCCGCACCCTCCAGTTCCAATCTCTACCTCATGTTGGCTAAAGATGAGCAACCGGGGGACCAGCAGTTAGCGTAGTGGCTACGTCGCTGGACTCCCACGCGGTTCGCGTCCCAGACCCAGTGGCTTAAACTCACGCCAGGCGTGTCTGTGTGCGTGCCCAAGATCGCGAGAGAAGAATGGAGGAGGGATTGCGGCGTGACCATCTCCCCCGGGGGGTGATTTCTCACTTTCCATCTCTCTCTCTCTTTCTGAAGAGCGCACGCATCCTACTGCAAAAACCTCTCCAAAAACAAAAACCAAAAAAAGCGAACGGTCTGAATGGGATAGAAAATTTTTCCTTCCCAGCAAACCTGGAACCCAAGGATGCAGCAGAAACCTCCCCACCTGACAGCCTCGTCATCAGACTCAGAGCGAGGTAGGCCTGCCCAGCTTGACAGTGACACCTGTACCCGCCTCCGGCTCCTCCCCTCTCACAGTACACCCTACAGCCCAAGAGGCCCCAGGCTGCTCAGTAACACGCACCGGCCCCACCAGGCTGGGTTTTTTTAAAAAATAATTATTTTGGGGCGGCTAGCAGGTAGCATGGTGGTCAAGGGCACTGGACTTTCACATGGCCAACTGCAGTTTGAGTCCCAAACCTGGCAGCTTGCTTTCTCACTTTCCCTTTCTCTCTCTTTCCGGTCAAATTAAAAACAAATAAAATTAAATAAAGTAACTCTCTTAAAAAAGAATTTTAAAATATTGTCATTATTTTGTTTTATTTGTTTTTAAAGCTCCCAGGTCCGGGACTCAAACCGCAGTCAGCGCTGGGAGTCCTGCTCCCTTAACCGCCACACCACCTGACGGCCCCCAGGTTAGATTTTAGCATCTTAGCCAACAGCCAGCACAGACCCAGGAAGCCAGCCCTGAGGTTCTGCAGCGCAAATGAAAGGCCAGGTGGGCAGGACCTGCAGGCCCTGGACCGCCCACGCTCCGCTTCGCCTGCACGCCCATCCCCAGAGCCAACAGTGTCACCTGCCCACTGCTCAACTACTCCATGGCAACGGGATACCCCAGGGCCAACAGCACTAAACCGGCGGTGGCCGCTCTCTGCTGGGCCAGAGACCCCCAGGGCAGCCTGGCTGGGGCGTGCACGGTGCCAGCAGCACTGGCTCGGGCAAGGCGCTCGGGCTCCCTGGTGCCAGAGCCTTCGTCCCCAGCCAATGCCCCGCTCAGGTCCCTGCAGGTGACGTGCCCAGCCCCGCCCGCCTGCAGAGGTGTGCTTCCACCCGCCGGGGAGGCCCGCGCTGGGCCCTCCTCGGGACGCCGGCCTGGGAAGAATGGGGGTGCACACGCCGTCCCCCCTAACCAGAGGCAGGGAGGCCGGGGGCCGAGAGCGCAGTCTCGGGGGAGCACCGAACCAGACCGAGCAAGCCCCGCAGGGTCTGCCCTGGGCCGGCTCCGCGTACCCGCAGAGCTCGCGCGTGTGTCCCCCCGCCATCCACGGCTCAGGTTCCCGGAGACGCCCCGGCGTCCCCACGCCAGGCCCTTCCGCAGACCGCAGGCCCCTGTCCCCGGGCTCCACCCC